TAGATTGTGTGGTTCTACCTATTTCGATGCCAGTTTTTCTAATTAGATGTTTGTTCCTTAATACGTATTTTTATTTGAACTTGATTAAATTTTACTCAGTGTGGAGGGAGAAAATTGACTTTTATAGAACGCACTTCCTAATATAATTATTTGGTACTGTAGTATGAATAGAAACGCTCATTTCCACGGTTTAAATAAGAAACGCTGTGGAACCCAAGCCTGTCAGACTTCCATCAGAAGCTTACTGGTTCCCTGCCAACTTCCTGCCCATCTGCCTGGCAGGCTGTCTGTCCTCCCAAACACTGCGTCTGCCTCCATGCCAGGGACAGCAGCACTGCCAGGCTGCGGCTGCGTGGCAGGAGGCCAGAGGGACTGCCTCTCACCCAGAGTACCACCCAAAGGGCCCCCAAAGGACGATGTGATGTGCTGTTCTGCACAGACAGCCTCCAGGCATGCTGCTGGGCCAAGGAGCTTTCCAATCTGGAATGTCTTACCTTATGCCAGCCTTTAGTAGTTTTCTGAGAAATTCTTTTATCAGCGGACATCCCTTTCTCAGTCAGGATGATTTGTGTATTTGAAAGAACAGGACAATTTAATAGTACAACGCAGTGCTAGGGAAATTGGGGCTGTACCTCTTCATGCTTGTATAAAAGCACTAACCATTGCTACACCAGGATTGTAATAAAATGACACAGAACAGTTTTGCTTTCTTTTTTTTTCTGTTTTTTTTCTTTAATGGCTTGCTACATTGAAGTGTTAGAAAGTATGCCTTTCTTAAAAGAGCTTGCTCCACAAATAGATTAATTCCATAGTAGTAGGGGTGGTTGGAGAAGAACTTTCTTCTGCTCCAGATAATATGTGTAGAGTGCTACCAGATGCCATATAAATATAATAGCCTCTCCATTGTATTGAATCTAAACAATGATATTGAAAGAGACACAAAATTAATGTTGCAAATCAAGTGTGATAAAGAAAATATTTTTAAAGATCGTTGTCTGGAGGCGATAAATATTTTATAATTACCCTCAAAGAAATGTAATAAAGAATTTTGATTAACATAATATACTAGACCATAAGATAAGTGATGCTTCATATAATTAATCTGTGAAGTAGAAATAATGGTACTCCAGTTTGGTAATAATTTACTTCTTGGCTTGTCCTTAGAGTTAGCATATCTCCTTTCCTGAAGTTAGTCATCAGGTAGAATAATGGGTTTGGGATGTAGGTGAATAATCTTTTTGCGTTTACAATGTTATCCACATTAAAGAGCTGAAGAATCAAACCCTGCCTTCACAGGTTGGGCCAATGGCTAATCTTATATAAGCAATACAGTATGAAGGTTGGAAGCACTGTAATTTGAAAAAGATATTATTAGCCCTTCTGTTTCTCAGCTAATGTAATATGGTGGATTGGAGAGGGCTGACCTTGTTATGCACTTAGCAGATGCTTTCAAACCAAATTCAATTGATTTGTATCTGTGCTATGCCAGCCTTACGTGTATTGGAAACATTGGAGCTATGCTAATAACAAAATCAGAACAAAGTAAAGATAAATCATGCTAACTGATTCTTGCTGAATGAACAAGCTGCTTCTTATCGATCTAGTTCATTTTGCACTTGTCAGTATCAAAATGTTGCTAGTATGTTTCTCACAAACCGACATGCCTCAACATTTACAGACTAAAAGTAGTTGTATGGTTGCTCTCTGCCTGCAGACTAAATAATGTATCAGATTATCATGACAGTCATATTTTCAGCTACACGCCGGCATAGCTCCAACTGCATAGCTGTTGACTTTGCAAGGATTGAGATACAAACTTAAAGTTAAGCACGGGCGTAAGTGCTTCTTTAGTTTGTCTCTCTCTCTTCTTGCTCTTGATATCATGTACGTACCCATATGTATTTATCCATTCTCAAAGGCAACGTATCAACTTCTCACTAGCCAAAATGTCTATAATCAGTTGGACTGCATTTCAGAATAAATGCTTCCTAGTGAATCTTCCCCCAGTTTCATGATGTTTGTGATAGATATAAATGAGGTCCTCTTTGTCTGGGCTTTTGTTTTCAGTCCTGCGTGTTTATTGCAGTTATGGATGCCTGCTTTTCATTATGCTTTAAGAAGTTTACAGTAAATATTGCTAGGTGTAATAAAGGTTTTTAAAGTGAATTACATAAGAGCTGTTATATAGCCTGAGACTAAGTGTCATCTCCTATACAAAGCATAAACGTTGTTGCGCAAAGAAAGAAATACTAAAATTATGACTGTAGGCTGTGACTTTAATAAACAGTATAGGTTTGCTTCATACTTAATAAATTAAGAGAAATTACTGAAAGTATAATGTCATACTCCTGTGATATATTTGTCTTCTGCAAAATAGCATTAATTGACAGTAATACTTATTTGGGCATTCATGCCTGACCAAATGAACAAGTGTGTTATTAGGCTGTCTAGAGAGTCATGGATGTATTCAAATAAAAAGATTTATAAATGCTCTAATTATCTTGACAAATCAGAGAACTAATTGGAAATATTAGGATGGATTAAAATAAAATACAAATTTTACTCATATTTCCTATATTTTTTTCCTAAGAAGGCTTGTGGCATGTCCATATGTCTCTTCTGTACGCCTTTATTTTTGTACCTGTACACTTCTAGTATTCACTAGATGTACTGTGGTTCCTCCTGACGTATGTGTCCTGTAAGGCGAGGGACAACAGAATCAAGAAATAAACATCTGACCATGTCACAAATCCAATTAGCTCTGACAAGGCCAGTAAAGTCAAGTGAGTAAGAAGTCTGGAAGCAGCTTTGTATTTCAGATTGTACTGGAGATGGTAGGACACCAGCTGGACAGAGCAAAACCACTCCAGGCACCTGAATTTTCTGCATCCAAGAGGACCAACTTATAGCCTGGCGAGATCACAAGCGCTGTAGCATTTTCAAGTGTCAGATCTCATCTCTTCAGTGTTTCTAAGTAGCATTCCCCTCACTGAATATAAAATGTGTGCTAATGTCATTGCAAGGTAATGCAGTGAAGCAGAAACCATAGCAAACATTACACAGCCTCTCCTCGCTGCCACCACATGTCTGGCAGTACCCTCGTTTTGGTGCAGCAGTCTTCAGGCAGGAATTCTGGTGAAATTCTGGCAATTGTCTAATCCCAGAGTCTATGCATGCTAAATGCAGCTTTCCTTATTCTAGTGGTTGTAATTTTGTCACATGTAGTGAAACTGAGCCACTGATCCGCTGTAGTCATTCCTGGCTGAGATTTAAAAACATCAGTGAATTTTTCATCTTGACTGTAGCAGTGTCAGTCTGGTGATACTCCTTTGATGCTGGCCAGATTCCTTTGGATTTTATCTGAGACAAGAATCCATTCCCTGACTTCCTTCATTGTTTCTGCATAGAAATAAACTACATAGAGCATTTAATTCCTTTATGTAAATCAGTTAATGCTGTATTACACTTGGAAGTTCTGCAGCTTTCTCACTCAAACCTAATTCATAGTCACGTAGCATGCTCAACTAAAATGCTCTCTTCCCATATACAATTGAGTAATGTAACAAATAATAAAGACCCATCAAGTATAATGCAACATTCACCATTATTACTGTTGACTGTTGATATTTGCAGCTCATCATAACCTAGTTTTGCAGTTGCCAGAATAGTCAAACATATGGTTCATCAGCAACAATGCAGGCCCTAAAACTGTCACACAGAGCTACTTCAACTTTGGGATGTCAGAAGGGATCTTTCTTCTGGAAGCAGTGTGCTAACCAGGGTTAGCTCACATCTTGCAGCCACTCTGCAGCTGAGTTGCATTGGAAATTTCCCAGCGTTTTTCTTATATTTCTATTTGATTGAAATTTAAATTACATTCATTTCAGCAGTTTTTTTTTTTCTCCAAAGGGAGATTTTTCAGACTTGAAATGGGATTTCTGGTCTGGAAATAAGAAACAATACAGCAACGCAGTGATTAGGTTATTATATTATTAGATTTGGAATAGGAAGCTGAAATTGTTTTCCCTGTGTCCTAATTCCGTGTTTCTTGCCCATAGGGTACATGTTTTGTATGCACTGCATCTTTTGAATGTTTTCCTCTGAGTTTTATTCCCACATAGAGGCCAAAAAGAGTCAACACCTCCCATATTCTGCAGCACTGTAGTGCCTGATTCCTAATTCCTGGCTAATTGTGCTGTTGGTCCCATCTTCCCTGACACAGAGAATTTACCGTGGGGTGAAATGGGTACATTTGTTTCAGTGGTCAGGATGGTCTCAGAGGTCTCAAAAAAGAGCAAGGAAAAAAAAACATGCTCAAAATGGCTTCTACAGATAATTAAAAATCAAACATTTTGTCATGCTTTGACATTTTCCTAACTGCATTGAAACCTGATCTTCTTGCTACAACTTTGGACACAAAATTTAGCAAATTTAGATACAGACTGTATGTGCAATGCAGGCATATGCTGACATACGACTTCCATATGTCAGTCCACAGAGATTCTACAGCTCCTGAGACTGTTTTGTTCTTTAAATAGCTTTCCATCCTTTTAACATTGTGGACCATTTTTCCATTCTCTTTATGTTCTTTCTTCCTTCCTTTAATGCCACATTCATTTGTAAGTGACTTGGATTTGGCAGAAAGGACTGAGTGGAAGAAGGTAAAACAGTTTTCAGAGATTTCTACTGTAGACAAATATATCTGGAACCCAAAAGATTGATGTGAACTGTTGAAATAAAATAAAACCTGCATTAATCTTAATAAGTAAATAAATAATTATATGGACTGAGACTTTAGTCCTGAATTTATTCAGGGTCCTATACAATATTTTACTTGGAAGCTAAATTTAATCCATTTTTGATTATTCATTGTTAATTAATTTACTCAGCAAGTTAAAATCTAATCTGAAAAATATAAAGCCTTTGTATTTAATAGCATATCATCAAATCCCAAAGTTTCATTTTGAACTGGAAGCAGCCTGAGCCTTACTGTCTTACAGAGAGTTTAATCAGAGGACCAGGGGAGCTGCCAACAGTGTGTTTCCTGTTGGTTTTCACCAAAAAAATGGGTATCTTCATTCATGTGATGTGCAGATGTGCAGTAGGAAAGCACCGAGATGTGAGTTGCACAGAGACCTGCTATTTTAGGCAAAGAATGGATAAACAAACCTTGTATTGTCTCTTCAAAAGATAAATCCACCGAAGCAGTCCAAGATCCTTAGGAAAACTATGTGAATATGAAGTATACTCAGCCTTACATTCTTCAGTTTATAAAAGCTTTGGAAGATAAAAATACTTCAAATTAACTTAAATCCCGGAAAACTTCAAAATAAAAGGAAGCACAATGAGAACATACACAAATAATTACTGCACTATGTCAATGTACAAAATCTGTATTGAACCCATTCTTTGGCTTTTTCAACAAATCATAGTGTTAATCAGCAAAATGCTTCGTTTGTACCTTTAAAGAGAAAAAGAACTGCCTGGAGTATCTCAGGAAAGAAACCATCACTTCCTGCTATCTGGAGAAATGCTGAGAATAATAACTATGAAAAACATGCAATTAGTAAGAATTTACATATCTTTTCTGATGTATAGATTTTTTTCTGCCTGGGCACATAACAGTTTCTCACCAAACACCAGCTTCCTAACGTTTGCAATACCAAGGGCATTGAGTGTTGGGCTTCCTGCAGTCCGTATGTTAGCTTATGCTGGCATAGGATGAGTGCTTAAGGCTGGACTGAAGAGCCAATGTTTGCTTCAAGCCTCAGAGTCAACACAGAGCATATTTTCTTTCTACATCTTGAGGTCAAAGTGCTGTGTGATGTGGAAGGGCATAGAGCAGTGCTTGATGTGTTGGACCTAAACACATACATCAAGCAGACATCTTACTGTGGTGAATAAATCAGTTTGGTTCAGAATCCTGTTGAAATAAAGTCTCTTCTGTCAATTTGAGGCTTGAAGTGGACATCAAATTTTCACCAGCTCTAGGCTAGCCTTCTCTACAGGAAAGTGAAGAACCCAGAATGCAGGGTGATGTCTTCACAGTTTCCCTTCCTTGGCCACATTGATTTTTAGAGAATTCTAACTGGATGTACAAATTTCTTCTGGATGACACCAGAAAGGAGAAAATATGTGGAGTTCTATAAAAATATGTGTTCTTTATCATAGAAAAGTCAGAGAACATAACACAATTCAGCTGGTCCCAAGATTTAAATCCATTAATAGAAAAAGACTGTGAAGCTATCATGAAAGACAGGTGGAGAGAAAACATGTAACAGTACCATAAGCAAGCAGAATCAGAGCAGATATACATGAAGTGGAGGAGTTAGGTGATGCCACAGGGGAATTAATTACCAGGTGCTGTATGTTTTGAAGGAAAAAAAAATGAGAACATCTTTTCAAAAGGGGAATCACAGAAGTGTATTGAGGCTGTGGTGGCACCAGCTCTCTAACTGCCTCCAACTCCATTGATCTGTTTCCCCGTGGTATCCTGGCTCCCAGGAGCTCTGTACCTCCTGCTCCATCACACCCTCAGCAATGGTGAAGCCCCATCTGCCTTGGCTCATCTCCCAGGCTCTTCATCCACATGATAAATTACTGATAAGTTACTGGGAAGATGTCCTGCCTCTCCTTGTGTCTGTCGAAGAAGGTGTCGGAAGGCCTTGCTCGAGGTGTTTGTCTTGCACTGCTGCTGTGGTTGCAGGCTGAATCCACCATTCCTCCCTCACAGCACCACCATTGCAAGTTCCAGTGTCAGCAAGGAGCAGAAGCAGAAATAATACACTGGTGTCTGTCACAGATAGCAGGAGTGAAAAAAGTTAGCTGGCTTCTACCTGCAAGAACATTGGAGCCTGGTGTGGAACAGACCTGCATGAGGCAGATCCAAGCAGAACATGCTGCTTCCCAGCAGTCCCACAGCTGGGGATGTCTGGTGTGAGGACTTTGCCCCACGAAGTTCCAAAATGTGTAATGGTACTGGGCCAGTTCCCACCTGGCCTAAACCAACATGTGTGAGTGTGCCAGGGGTGTGAAGGACCTCAGCACAGCTTCTTACAGCCATCAAGCCTGCACCTGTTGCTCCAAGTGAGTTGCTAAAGTAGACACAGCCCATCCTGGTTTGTTACCTGCCTGCAGACAGAATTAAAATGGCAAGTCTGCAATACGCCATCATTTTCCAGGAAAATATATTCCATAGTACTCTGAAGGTGCAAATACTGTATTGAAACAAGATATATTTTATTGGCTTTGATGGATAGATTCGGAAAAAGAGGATTACCAAACTGAGACTAATAACTGCATTCAATGTATTTACATTTACACACTTTACATTTTAAATAAGAACTCCATCTGCAGGGGGAAATGCAGTCCTGGAACATGCCTTGTTTTATTGCATAGTGCCACCTAGGGGTTGGACGCTTCTAAGGTTCAGAGGGGCAAGGGATACGAAGTCCTATTAGTAGCAGGATAGGTGTTAACCCAATCACCTGTAATTTGGAACTTAGCAAGACAAATAAAATGCTGCCAAGATTTCTATACTGTTGTATATGGCCAAAGAACTGTAGTTTTTACAGTTCCCTTTGGAGCTGGCTCTACTCTTACCTTTCTTTGAAGCCTGGCAGTGATGGAGGATGTTGTAGATCCTGATTTTCTCCCCTGTGAGCCAGGTTTTGCTTGTATGTGATCAGCAGGGATGTTATCTGCTGCTGCAAGGCTGGGGACAGGATTGCAGTCTTACTGGTTTTGAGTATGCAAGGACTTAAAGAAAGCCTTGAATGAACTGTGATTATTTCTTTCCTGAAAAATGAAAACTCCAAAATGGGAGTTTTAAATATATATATACATATAAAATATAATATATATATGATATATATATCACATGTATATATCATATTATGTATGTATATATCATATATATATCATAAATATGTATATAATTATTTTTTTAACACATTTTTTATTCTCTCAAAGGACATTTGATTTTATTCTGTATCTTCTTCAGCAGGTGGCGTACCTGCCTCACTGGAACCAGATGCATGTTCTACTATCTGCTCACTTGCCGAGATCCTCAGGCAGAACAATGCAAACTGTACATCTGTGTATTCAAGAACTTCTCTCCCTCATCCTTGGAGGAAGGTACTGATGTTATTGCTATATTAATTTTTCAAGAAAAAATATCAACAACATTTTTGATTGCATGACCGTATGCTTGGACTGCACAAAGGGCAGGTCTCTTCATAAGATTTGATTAGTAATAAGAAGGAGGAAAAAAAAAAATTATTCATGACAAGTTCCTGTTTTTAAATAATCCATACTGGAGGGGAAAAAAAAAAACCCCAAAAAAAAACCCCACAACAAATGGGGGGGGGGGGGGGGGGGGGAAGGGGGAAACTAGACAAGAAGGGGCATAAACATTTTCATTTTGGAAACATAAGCCACAGACGTGACAAACAATTGCTGTATGTATCCCTTGGGATGCTGTAAGTATCCTGCAGTACACTGACAGCATGAGGGATGAAGTAAACTACATGACTGTCCTCCTGATGTCATGATGGAGAAGAGATGCAAAGCTGGGTACCGGTGCTGCCATACTTCAGGCTGAATGAGCTCTGACAGGACTGTCAAAGCAAAAGTATAGCAGGGAGCAGTAAATTCACAGTGGTGCCTCTCTGTGTCAGTGCAAAATGCTCTGCAACTACCAGGCTGTTTCAGCACTGGCAAAAAACACTGTACCCAATCTAAAGAGAGGCTGGAGCCTCTCTCCACATCAGACATTCCTGCTGTTGGTGTGGATTTGGGGCAGCTTTATTGCTTTGGTAAAAGTCAGTCAGAATACAGTTATACTGGCAAGCAAAGTGCTTTTACTTTTATAGGCTCTATTGCTTATCAAACATACCAGCATAAATCATTAATAACACTAGTAAATACACACACACATTAGGAGGGCTGGCTGTTACAACTTTATTGGCAGATGTTCTTAACAAAAACATGGGCTGACAGCCTGGGCCAGCAGCTGTTTCTCACAAAAGAAATACAATAAATTCAGAGGCTTGAAATAAAGTATTTGTGTTTAAGGACTGTAGGATTTTCTCACATACATGCATATATGTCCAAAAGAAAGCCTGACAATCCAGGTAAACTGAAGAGGAACTGTAGGCGTTGTCATTAATAGAAGTCATTAAGCACAGGTTGGAGTATTCAGAATTATAAAAAGAAAATCACTGTACTCTTGAAATTCTTCAACTAGTGTTGTCAAAAATGTGTCATTTTACACAGGCTCATAAAAAGCTCTCATGGTTTGAAGGCATTCAGAGCCCCTGGAGTTGTATGCATGTTAAATTCTTTCTAACTCTATCCCTTTGTTAAACAAAGTATCACTTTTCCTTACAAACCTCCCTCTGCATTGTGTCAGAGAGTAGCATTAGGGAAAACAGAGCAGCTGGATGCCTGTGTCAGGAATAGAGCAGCCAGCAGGAGCAGGGAGGTGATCTAAACTCCGTGCTTGGCACTGGTGAGGCTGCACCTCGAATGCTGTGTTCAGTTTTGGGTCCCTCACTGCAAGAAGGACATCAAGGCCCTGGAGTGTGTCCAGAGATGGGCAACAAAGCTGTGAGGAATCTGGAGCACAAGTCTTATGGGGAGCAGCTGAGGGAGCTGGGGTTGTTCAGTCTGGAGGAGGTTCAGGTGAGACCTGATCGCCCTTTACAGCTGCCTGAAAGGAGGCTGTGGTGAGGTGGGGGTCGGCCTCTGCTCCCAAGTAACAGCAATAGGACGAGGGGAAACGGCCTCAGGTTGTGGCATTGATGGATGTGGTCAGTGGGCATGGCAGGGATGGGCTGGCGCTTGCACTAGGTGATCTTGGCGGTCTGTCCAATGTTAGTGATTCTGTGATTCTGGCAGGAAATTCTTCCACTAAACTGGTTCTGTTGACCACTTCCCCAAGGATAAATTTCATCCTGAAATCTTTATTGAATGTTCAACAGGCACGTAAGAGGTGGTTTGCTTTAGACTGCCTGGTCTGTCTTAGCAAATGTTGACAGCTGGCAACAATGTCAAAATCATATAAGGTAGAATCTAGTGATCAGAATTGGGTATATCTACACTTATATTAGGAGCAGTAAAGTGACTCAGTGTAAATGAGGAAGGAGGGGAAGTCCTGGAGAACCAGACCCGGATACACAACACAAAAAAGTATTGCTATGTTAACAGACGGCAAAGTCCTAAAGGCAACATCTGACAGGAAGTGCAGTGTGATGGAACTGCGGTGTGATGGTGCCGCACGAGGAGCCCACTGACGGGAACTCACATTCTCAGAAGGGAACCGACGCCAACTGCCCTCGGCAGCCAGGCTCCTCAGGCCCTCCTCCAGGCTGCGGTCAGGACTGCTGAGCCTACAGAGGTCCTAGCAAAGACCAGCGCTTCGATACCGGCTGCTGAAGGGAAAATCCCCTTCCAGCGCGAGATCCCCGCCAGCCCGGCACTCCCGGGCGCCGGCTGAGCCCAGCAACATGGCGGCCCGGGGACGCAGTGAGGCGGCGAGGCGCATGCGCACGGCACCCCTCCCGGGGGGGAGCGCGGCGGCGTCATGACGTCAGACGCGGTCCCCGGCAACGGCCGCACGTCGGCGGGCGCCGGCAACCCGGAAGCGGCGAGCGAATAGGGACGGAGCGGCGCGGAGGAGACTGGCGGAAAAGTAGTCCCGCAGGCGGCGCGGCACTCGGTGGAGGAGCGGGCGGCGCTCGGCGGAGCAGGAGAGGGCCTCGTCCCGCTTGGCGCGCTCGGATCGCACGGCGACGGCGGCAGAGATGGCGGCGGACAAGGCTGCGGGTGAGCGGGGAGAACGGCCGCGGGCCCGGGCGGAGGGATACGCTCTCGCGCTGGGGCGGTGAGTGCCGGCACGGAAGGCGAGGGGCGTGCTGCTGGCGCGTGTCCTTCCGCCGAGGAAGTAGCGCCCGGCGGGCGGGCGGCCGTGCGACCGGCTGAGCCCGCGGTCTGCCCGCCTCGGTCCCGTCCCCTTCGGCCTGGCCGGAAGGGGCGAGAGGCGGCTGCCGGAGCCGTGTGGGAGGCTCTTCTCCGTCCCAGAAGCGATTATCCCCTGCTTCGGGAAATAAAGTGCTCCGCAGATGTGTGCAGTGAAGTGCTCAGCAGCACGGCTTGTGCGGGATGTACAGGGCCTGGGAACGAGAGGGCCTGGGGGCTGCGGCCCATGGAGGTGCAGCTAACAGGTGTGAGGAGAATAGCTGCGGCGCTCCGGGCATCAACCGGCCTGCGAGTGTGGGAGAGGTGCCAGCTGGTGCTGCAGCAGCAGGCCGGCGGCAGGCAGTCTCCCTTCCCAGGCGGCAATCCTGTGCTCTCCCTGCCTTCCACTCCAACCGCTCTCCCACACATCCTGTTGTCCAGCACGCTGCAGCTGCTCTGGTGGGAACGGCTGCCTGCTTGCACACCACAGAACAGAAAGCCTCCGTGATGTACATGGTGTTTTTCCTGGACTGTCCCTGCGTTGCCAGCCATGGAAATAACGTTACGACCTGCTGCTTTTATTGCTAACTCATCTGCCTTCTCCAGATGAAAACCCAAGCTGGTTTTAAGGGGTTTCCTGGGTTGACCTGTTTGCCCCGCAGTCAAGAGAGCAGGAGTGCTTTCCTCCTCCCAGTTCAAGTGGGTGCTTCCAACATCTGGCACCGGGCAGCTCTTAGGTAGCCGGTTGGTGAGATGTCTCAGTGATGAAGACCAGCTGAAGTCCTCCTTTAAACACGAGTGTTAGGATTGCTGTATATTAGAGGGACATTCAGCTCTTCAACAGGTTTCAAGCATATTTGGGCAAAGGGATTAGCAGCCAAAGTGATTTTGTTGCAGGAAGGAGCTGTGCTGTCAGCTATTTTAGCTGGACTTTGGGTTAGTTCCTAAGAGCTTCAGTTCATATTTACAAATTCGCTGTCTCTGGTAATTTGTAGAGTAGATGCAACTCTTCAGTTTACAGCCATAAAAGTGACTTTGTAGGAGAAAGAACAGCCCTGCATTGTTTAAAACAGTCCCAGGTTTCATTTTTGTCTTTAAACGTATGGTATAGAAGCATAGTGAAGTCTGTAGACCTGCCCTGATGCTTCCCTAGGAAATATGCCATGCAGGGTGTAAGTGGCATGCTTCCTAGACAGCTAACAGTCTCTTTCATTGATTGTTTGCTTAACTGAAGACATATTACTTTGAGATTCACGAGCACCAAATTGCTTGTTTGATCTGCTTGCAGACAGAGGCAGTACCCAGTACTGTAGCTTTGGCTGGCCCTACACAAAGCTCAACCTGTGTATGTGGGCAGCTCCTGGTCAGGCTGAGCATTAGAAATTTCCCAAGGTTTGGATTCTCACATCTCTGCATTGTTGTTCCTTGTGCTGGTGTAATCTTGAAGGCCTGGTGAGCAAGTAAAGCAGATAACTTATCTGTTAGCATGATAGTTGGAGGGAAAATGTGTTTATTTCTTCACTGCTGTTAAAAAGGCCCTTGAAAATCAGTGGATTCTGTACCATAAATATTAAGGAGTCAGATCTATTATGTGTTTATTGTGAGGAGAGATGCTTCTTGTTCCTTTCCTTTCTCTCTGTGAGAAAACTGTGGCATGTCAAAGCTTTCTGAACTTTTTTGACGCTTGTTTTCTCTCTCATTATGGAAAAGGTTCCACTGCTGAATGCATTATGTGCAGTCAGATTTCATAGCAGGTGTGTGTAGTCCTGTAGCACCCTAAGGGTCCAGCCCTCCCGAGTGCTGGAATTGCTGAGTTTTGTCCAAATCACAGCTGTTGCTGTGGTTGAGATTTAACATCTCAACTTCACAGGCGTCCTGATGCAGGATGAAAGCCTCAAGCAACAAATATAGTCTTGCTGAAATGTATGATTGCATAGGATGGTGGTTTCCCCTGCAGGAAGTACAGCCCAGGAACTGGTTAGCGACTCTGTTCTGATCCTGCCATGGATGTTACCCCAGGGA